TATACATATATATGTGTGTGTGTATATAAAAATTATATTCTAAGAAAACAAATTCCTTGTAAGTATATTGGGCATGGTGGGTGGACACACCTGTAATCCTAGCACTCTGGACTTGCTACATAGTGAGACCCTTATCTCCAAAAAGAAAAACATTCTGCTCCTTGTTAATGTATTAAGATTTTATTCATATAGAGACTGATTAAAAAGTCACTTAAAATAATTTCCTCCCAAATGCTTAATATTTAAACAATATACACCAGTGTTAAAATTTTTAAATGATATAAAAGGAAATACCTAATGATAACTTTATATTGAGAACACACATTGGTTTGTTGGGTAGCAGCTATTTAGAAACACTACATGTCACTATTCTCAAAAGAAGAAAAGTGCTTTTTATAACTAAAAAGCAGCAGTAGAGTTTTCTTTTCATCCTTTTGCTTGCATGACTAAGAGCTAAAAAATAGCAAAGACAATTTAAAGGAAAAGAGTAATATACATCTCTGGTCTTAAACCTGGGTTGAGACGAAGTTCAGCTAAGAGAAAGAATAATGTAGATGTTACAACTATAACTTATAGCTCAATGTTTCAAAGTCTTAATTCCTGAACCTAAACTGAACAAACAAAAACTTTAAACAGGAAAAAGAATATTCAGAGTGAAAACTATCGCTACTTGGGGGAACACTAAATTAGATTTTCTAAACATACCTATTTTATAAACACATGATCAAATAAAATGAACTGATCATTCCTAATTTTAAAGGATTTTTTTCCCTGTTTCCTTCACCAGCTCCATGAAAGCCCTACTGGCTTAGTGTTCCAGACCTGGCTGTTTAATCTGATTTATGGAATGTATAGTCATTTTTTTTTTTGAACTTGACTGTCTTCTGTAAATGTATATGAATTAGTGACATACATAACAAATATAGAAAATTACATATGAAGTCAAATAATTGTAAAAAAATTAAAACATAAAATATTACACATTTGATATTTTAACTAAAACATTGCTACAGCCTCTAATTCTTATGGTTTTCTTACCAGACATTGCTCGGGTTAGAAACATTCCTCCTTGTTTATTCAGTAAAGACACATCTAGAGTTCCTCCTCCTAAGTCTATTACTAAGACGTGGAAAACATCAGCCTTGTGGAGACCATAGGCCATAGCTGCTGCTGTGGGTTCATTTATTACCCTCAAGATCTTTAGTCCTGTAAGATTGGATGGAGGGAAAAATAATTCATGAGAGAATGCTAATGAGAAATTCTTTCCCCTTAACTTCATAAGATGCTTGTCTCTTTTATGACATGAAATTCACTGAATGATAACAGAAGCAGTTACAAACTCAATAGAAATAATGAAATAGGAATGATAAATATAAGCTCTGTTAAATACCACGGTATCATTAAAATTATTCTAGAAAATTTTAATATAAAAAGAAATAAAACTCGAGGTTTAGTGAAGTATCTATCTTAGTATTTAATTTCCAAAATCCCTCAGCCTTTCTCTTTTTTTGGTATCAGGGAATGAGCTCAGGCCCTTGCACTTCTGAAGCAGGCAGCGGAACCACTGAGCCAAATCCCCAGCCCAGCCTTTCTTAATACTTATATTCTACTTGGGAACACAAAACATAAAGCTTCAATATACATGATAATTTATCACTGTGGAAATGAGATAACTTTGTCTTCTACAGTTAAAAGATCAAGATTCTTGAACAAAATTCTTGCTTTAAACATTTACATTTAAAGTGTTCTTCAAAATAATATGACATTGGGCCAGGGATTTAGCTCAGTGGTTCTGCTGAGCTTTATAAGCGTAAGGTCTCAAGTTTGATCCCCAATACAAAAAAAAAAAAAAAAAAA